CGAAAGTTGCATAGCAGGGCAGTGCGCGTTGAAAAGGATGAAAGGAAAGAGGGCTTTTCAAGGAAACCTGATCAACGGAAACCCGTTCCGCACCGTAATTTCAAAAAGGACCCGTCTCTTACGAAGGACAGTGCAGGGGAAGGGCAAACAGAAGCGGAGAAATCGAGTGAGGTTTCTACCACACAGGCATTCGAATCGGAAAACAAACGGAAGCCGCTAATCTGCTACAACTGCAAAAAGGAAGGACACATCGCGAGAAACTGTCAGGAAAAGTTTGCCTTCGCAACGATCCGAGAATCAGAAAAAAACATTCGGTTGTTGGAGCCGTATCTCCAAGAAATTAAGGTGAATGAGAAAACGTGCCGAGCACTTAGAGACTCAGCGGCAACCATGGACGTTGTCCATCCTTCATTGGTGTCTCCGGATGACTTCACAGGAGAATGCGCGTGGATCAGGCAGGTCGCCGAGGAGCAGAGTGTTCGCTTACCAATCGCCACGGTTGTCATTGAAGGCCCGTTCGGTGAGCTTCGCACCGAAGCGGCTGTGTCTGCCGCGCTAAATGATCGTTTTCCTTATCTTTTCTCCAACAACTCAGAGCAGCTTCTCAAAGAGCAGGGCAAATCGTTCTTTCCCAACTTAGCGTGCATGGCTCTCACGCGATCGCAAGCGCGGAAGCTATCGCGGCAGCTTGATCTGGTTCAATGCGGTGAACTCTCAAGTGACCTTGTCGGCGGGTCGACGGAACCCCAGAAAGGAAAGTTTCCGCATGAGTCATGTGAGCAGTCACGCGAGCGGCCCGTCGCCGAACCGACCGGCACGATTTCCGTAGAAAGGGGAGACGACATGGCGCCATTGAGTCAGAGCGAGAGGGTTGCAACGCTCTCGCCTGTAGCGGAAAGTTGGAGCGAGCTGCCGAGAGTTGATCGAGAGATGCTCATTCGAGAGCAGCGTGAGGATCTCTCGATTGAAGCGCTAGTGGAAAGCCAGATTGAAGCGCTAGTGGAAAGCCAAATTTAAGCGCTAGTGGAAAGCCAGAGAAACGCGGCAAGGGTGCTGTCGAAGGAGCACTGCGAGAAATCGGTGAAGAAGCGTGCTTTTGAAGTTGATAATCAGGTAATGCTGCTGCAGCCGTCCAAGAGGAACAAGCTTGAGGTTGATTGGGAAGGGCCCGCCAAAGTATTATCGAAGCCTTGCGATACAAATTGTGAATTTAAATTAGGAAGGCGGCCGAACAAAGTTTATCACAGTAACTTGAAAGCAGTTGTAAATTTACTCTTAAGTGCTTCAGAGGAAGAGGAAGCAGAAATTTTTAGTTCTAGTGAGGTAATCGAAAGGAGATCGAAAGTAATCTGGGAACAGCTGAACCTAGAGCCTAGCTTAAGGGACGGAGGACCTGAGAAAGAGGACCTAAGAAAGATTGGTTCCGAGTTTGGAGACGTGTTCTCGGACCGTCCCGGAGACACGACGGTGATCGAACACGAAATAGAGCTAACTTGTGAGGAGCCAATCCCTAGCAAGCCGTATCGTTGTTCCCCTGTGCAACGTCGAAAGTGTGAGCCGCTCTTGGTGCCGCATAGGTATCGTCGCCTAAAAGTGGCCGGTTACTGAAGTGGAGCATGTTGCTCCACAGCGCAACTTTGACGTTCGCTATCAAAAAAAAAATTAAAGGAAAGGTAAACGCTAATGCAGGTGCATTGAGCAGTGCGTTCCAGCTAGTAACTTCTCAGCCTTTCGGTTTCTCGCTGGCGATTCGGGGCAAAATTTTGACCTCATCACGACCTGGGCTGAGCGCTCTCGTTCAGAGTGATCTCAAGGGGCCAACTTTGTGGTATTCTAATTTGTTACGTTGTTGTACGTGGGAAAAAAATTGAGTTGTCATTTTAAGAGTCTTGTGTCCCACATGTGCCTCTTGATGTAGAGGGAACAAAATTCCGATAAACACGTAGATAGGTATATGTTGTACTATATTTTGTCTGGTGTTCTGTCGGGTGACCGAGGGCACTTGCTTGTGTCGTGTGTTGTCTGTTGTCGATTCGTTCTTGGCAAGTTCCAGAACCATCGACAAGTGCTGAAACCGAAGATGGTCAGAAGAGACGAGTGAAGCTGGTCGACAAGTTGTGGCGACAAGCCAGTGGAGCTGGGATCCGTCGTCAAAAATGGGACGTGTTCCCGGAACAGTCTGGAGCTGTATTCTCCCCATGGCCCTGGAGGCGAACCTGGAGGGACCTGGCGAACGAGCGCACCTGACATCCGAGCCCCGTGGAAGCAGCTCGTCTTTCCGGTGCATTGTCTGGCGGCGGGGGTGCTGTTATGCCAGCGAGTCCTCGTCAAACGTCCGTGCCTCTGAAAAAGGCAATCTGGGTCAAGGCCAGCCCGCAGTCCGCCTGACGCGAACATCTCAACGGCGTGAACACGCGCGGCGCTTCTCTGGCCCACGTGCATTGAGTCAGCTGCGCACGTGACAGCGAGCCGGCGTCCTCGTGTCTGGTGGTCTGACGCGTGGCGCGGCAACCCCATTGGAGGAATCTGCCCTGACGACCAGCGGCGCTTCTGATTGGACATTTTGGTTGGACCCGGTGTAAATAAAAGAAGCCCTGCGGCGCGTCGCGATCGGCGGTCCTTGAGAGAGGAGTCCCCGTGTCGGAGAGCCGACATGTGTGTGAGTCGGCGGTCTTAGGCGAAAAGTTGACCTATGTATTAGAGAAAAGAGCTCGGCTCTTCGAGTCTCTGTCGGCCCCAGTGCCGAATTTGTAATGCCTCTGTGTATATGCTGTACTTAAACCTTGTTTAACTCACCGTCGTCTCGTCCGCTCGTCTTATCAGCTCTGCGCAGAAGCAGTCGCGAGCTGATAAACATACGCTACCAAACGGCTGGTGACCTTCCCGGCGGAGTTGAAAGCAGTGGCGCCTTCGGGGCCGTGTTGGCGTCGCCGTCTTTCGCAACAGTGGTGGCTTCGGTGGGATCGGTCCGTCGTTCGCAACAATATGCCCTTGTTCGATGAGTCATTGATTAGAGCAAGAAATGGCACGGTGTGTGCTCCTGAGTAATAAGGCAACTCACGCTTGCGCTCATGCATGAACTACCACACTGTGCTTAATCGTAGCTTGAGCCATGAACTAGCGAAAGTGTTCCAATTCTTGCTGATTCCTGTCTCACTACACCAAGGCAAGACGTTCTCCCGTTTATATTATTGCTACCTTTTCGCCGTTCTTATTGATTCTTCGACGACGAACCCACACACACTAACGTAAAGCGAAAGTCAAAGGACTTTGCTACGTCTAGAGTGACACTTAGATGCTAGCATGGTCTTCTGCGTGTCTCGATGGCATTAAAATGCTTCAACTGCGTCGTCGCCTAAGAACTCACGGTCGCCGCTCATTAGCGTCATGACGCCATACTTCGCTCCACCACCTGGAGATGGCGGTACCGCCCCACCCCGCCTTCTTTTTTTTCTGATCCGTTAGCGCGCATTTCGCCAACGTCATATGCGTCACGGAAATATGTCAGTTATTCTTTGTGGACACCGGCCACAAAACACTTTTGCGCTATAAATGTTAAAACGATATTCGATCAATGAATTGTTGCTGCTTAGTGACTTCTCTTTAGAGACGCGTTGTTGTCAGTAACTGGCCAGTTATTTATTTTAGTCATTTATTTAAAGATACTGCAACCCCATTAAGGGATTTTCGCATGATGGGATACAAACGTATGATACGACTAGCAGGACGAAAAAACAACTAAAACAAAAGGAAAAAACTATATGTGGTACACATACGATGCAGATATAGAATAAAATACGCTTCAGGTAGCATTAAAACAACGCATCAAGTAAAATTGTTGACAACGAAAAAGAAATACGCAAGTTACACAATATGGGACACAAACGAAGTCAGGGATGGCTGCAACACCACGTCATTTTGACAGTTAAATCCATTCGCTTATGACACTGGGAAAAAAAAAGAAGACTAAAGCAGCTGCTGGCGGATAGTGAAGGTGGTGATTGTTAGTGCATGTAGCTGTCTTGTAGCCTGACCTATCAAAAATCAGATGATCTCGGCAATATCTACGCTGTAGTGTTCCTTAATTAGCTGAAACACGATTGTACTGAGAACACGATTTCTTTGCGTCAAGATTGGTAGATTGGCTCTCTTTACCAAGGCTGCCGTTGAAGTGCGTCCAAAGCCGTTGTATATATGTCGAACCAGTCGCCTTTGAATGCATTCTACTTTATCATTGTCCCTAAGGAGAATAAAATAATATAAACTTACCAAGACTGACAATAATCGTCGCAAATGACATAATGCGATTTGCACATAATTTGTATTTCAATTTTTTGGTCGCTTAAAAGCATAAAAATTACCATAGACTGATAAGAAATAAAATAAAATGATTTTAGTTCACGAATTGTTTAAAGCAAATGTGTAAGAGATAATGTGACGTATTTGTTCGGCTCGGAGTCGACTGCGGCAGCTCGATTCATTGTGATGCGCTCGACTTCATGCACGCAAGATTCGCAGGTTGCGACCGTTACCAGGGCAGGGCGTTGATGACCTGGCATTCGTGACATCATTTCCGTAACGAAAATGACATCAGTCTGTTGTCGAACCATGGTATGAAACAGTTTCGTGATAAGAAACATAATGTAACTTTCAGGAAATTGACCTTATCGCTACTGCGGCAACACGAAAAGAAAACAACGTGGCTTCGCACGCGCACTGTCGTGCACGAAGTCAATTGTCAGCATTGCCTCAAATTATATTATTAGATTAAGTGTCGCGAAGGTTCGCGTAGCAAAGCTTGATCCAAACAATTAAATAGCCGTATTAACCTTTTCATAAACGCCTAATGGGCGCCGCCATAACCCTCCTAGGGCTGTGCAAATTGGCGCGTCCCCTCGAAAATGCACTGACAACGCTGCGCCCTTAGCCTTTGTACTCTCGCGCACAGCCCATCATGGCGGTGTTTTTTTTTTCCTTCCTGTGAAAAGGTGTATACTCACAGGTAAGCGCCGTGATGGCAGCAGATCCGAACGTGGCAGCCATAAAGCAGCTGATGAAGAGTCCATTGCGGGTCAGGAAGCTCTGCTGGTATCCCGACAGCGGGAAGTAGAACAGCAACAGCACGGCGAACAGCACCGGCATCAGGACCAACCGCAACGCCAACTGGCCAAACGCTCGTCCGTTGCAGTTGAACGTCGAGGCCCACAGCCGCCTGCGATCGTGAGGCGATGTGACGCACTTGCGTGAATACGTGGCGGTGGCATCATGCGTCTGAATTAAGCGGCTAAAAAGCAAAGTGGTGTTGGGTTTCAAGATGGAAATGCACGATAGGACGTACAGGCGCTTGGAGTCAATGAGGAACTGTGCTCTTCTTCCAGTCTTAACTCTTGAACGTCATTACTGAGAATGCGCTTTCTCTATTCTGTCTTGCATACCGTATAATCGATGTATACGCGAGGGAATTAAGGGACCATTCTCAAGCCGCGATTGAGCTGCTTGTTTCTCTTCCCTTCAGCCATGTATTTCTGTATGAGTGTCTGCAATCGGGTTCGCCCAAGGCCTTGGCGGTCGTGTTTCGTTGGAGAGGAAACGCTGTAGGCTCGTATAGTGTGCGAAAAAGACGCCGGAAGGTTGAAATTTTCCGGAGCCCTCCACCACGGCGTGCCTCAATCGTTTCGCGGTTTTGTAGCGTAATACTTTTATTATTATCATTGCTATATGTGTGGTTCTACATTTGACAAGCTCGAACTGTCGAGACGGCCGTGTGTCACCTGAGTACTCGGCTTGTTGGTGCGACTGCCTGAACCAGGCCGTCGTACAAACTCCCCTGAAGATTACTACAAAGTCCTGACAAACTCCCGTGAAGTTTCTCAGAAGTGCTGGCAGGTTCCGGTGAACCGATCGACCGTGCTGCTTGCTTTCTGCGAGCCGGTCAGTCAACAAACCTTTTTGAAGCTCTAAGAAACTTCAGAGTAGCAGTACAAAGTCGAAGAAGACCATGGTCTTCCGCCCGTTCCCATGCCCTTTGGATAGAGTTTAGTTGTTCCTGGGGATCGCCGCTTTTGAGGACATAATTCCTGTACTCTCATTCATTAATAGATGCACGTTGTAGCACAGAACATTATGAGAGCATGTATGCTTATGAGCAATGCTCTTGATTGCACTTAATGCATTCATGACATTAAGTGTCAGTGGGTCCACTAAGACATTAAGACATTAAGACCCACTAAGACATTAAGTCTTAGTGGGTCGATGTCCGGAGCAAAACGGCTAAACTTTACTCTCTATCACACATAAAAATATTGAAATGCACGTGATTACCAAACACGTTCTAAATAACTAAAACTCACTCTTGTATGTTTTGGTTCACAACTAGACTGTGGTCATGCAAAAACATTCAACAGGCTACCCCAGCTAGCTTACGGCATCGTTGTCTAACTTGATATAATCTTTGGGGCTAATAGTGTGCCGTTAGTTTATCAAAGCACACAACAAATGTGCGAAGAAACAATTTGAAAAGAATTATTGTTAGTTTATATCGACAAGACCTTCAACGAACATAAAAAATTATAACATAAAAGAGCCTTCTTTCGTTTTTTTTACTTGTTTCTGTGTGTGTGTTTGTGTTGGGTGCATCTTTCGAGAAAGGTGACTGCGTCGAACAAACGTGACATTTCATGCGTGAAGTGCTTTTCTGGTGCTGCTCAAAAGCATCGATCCGCTAAAGACGAATCTTGAATATGACTGCTGACTCTGTGGAAAGCTGCCTGAAGCATGTTTTCTGGTTGTCAGTGTTGTGCATAACCATAGTTACCTGAAGTCTCTAGTGGCGTTTGGGTGAAGGCTGGTTGTTTACGCTGCACCTCATACGATTGCGTACACTAGCCCGAGCTTTCTAGAAAATTCACTCGTTCAGACTTTTGGCGAATCTGAAAAATACGTTGTTGATCGAGAGTTGAAAAGCTTTTCCGTGTTTTAAGACTAAATACCTAGATGTAGGAATGGGTAAATATTCAGGGCCCATCGAATAATCGAGCGAATATTACAGTATTCGATTCCGCTTCGACGCGAATTTATATTATACGAAATTTTTCGAATAATTCGCAAAAAACGAATACATGTACGTATATTTGAGCGCTTGCAAACCTCTTGTGAAGGTGGTTTCACTGCAGCGCGTGTTTGATCTGCCGTTTCAAAGCTTTAAAAAGGGAGACTGTAAGAAGTTCAATTTTTTTTTTCAACTGAGAAAAAAATTGCCCGCAGCTTCCCTCGGGGGAACACTGAGGAGGATGCGGAGCATATAATTGGTTAACGGGGTGTTAAAGTGCGACTTACTTGGGTCAATGGCTAAATTGGTTAACGTGGTTGTGAAATGGGGTGCTAAATTGCGACTTACTTGGGTCGATGGCTAAATTGGTTAACGTGGTTGTAGGAGGGGGTGTTAAATGAGTGAACACGTACACACGTATGCGAAAGGACGGCGCTGGTCGAAGGGACGTCGATCATTGTGTTTGTGGATTCGTTGGAATTCATTTCACCGCGACCTTGGACGTCGACGCGCCGTACAAACCAACCGACGAGCGGCAACTGAGCGAGCGGGCGCCGACCTTGAGTATATATACAGCGCGACGGCGCATGCACTGTCAGCTGTCGAATGTTCTCGAAGGAGAAGCGCGCGCGCGGCACAGATGGCGACGGCGCGACGTCGCATGCGCTGTCAGCTGTCGAATGTTCTCGAAGGAGAAGCGCGCGCGGCACAGATGGTGGGCGACGGCGCATGCGCGCGCGTCAGCTGTCGAATGTTCGAGAAGCGGTGCGGACGGCGCGGACGGCGCACTACAAGGCGCGAGTATAAGATGCTTCCGCATCTAAAAAGAAGCTACTTTTCGCCATAGTGTCCTCTCAAGGAATACATAGGGGAACTTGCAACTTTTTGCAAGGTGTCAATGTTCTCCTGTAGTGAACGTTACCGTGTTCACATGCATTAGCTTGATTGATTGATATGTGGGGTTTAACGTCCCAAAACCACCATATGATTATGAGAGACGCCGTAGTGGAGGGCTCTGGAAATGTCGACCACCTGGGGTTGTTTAACGTGCAGCCATATTCTGAGCACATGGGCCTACAGCATTTCCGCCTCCATCGGAAATGCAGCCGCCGCAGCCGGGGTTTGATCCCGCGACCTGCGGGTAAGCAGACGAGTACCCTAGCCACTAGACCACTGCGGCGGGGCACATGCATTAGCTTAGAATGTCATCTTTTGAAACACCGTTATCCCAGCGTGTTGTCAAGAAGAGCACCACTCAAATCTGTCGATGCAATCCTGGACTGACCAGGCGTCGCCGGCTAGTTGAACACACATCCAATGCCAAACGATCGAAAGTGTCAAAGCATACAAGCTACCGTGCCAGGAAAATAAGTGAAGAGATTGGCAACTAAGCTATCGGAAGGCGATTGAGAACTTCAATCGAAGTCAAGTCTAAAAAATTGGTTCCAAATCTGCATGTTACACCGCAAACGTCGTCGAAATACGATAGTCTTGCGTCTGGAGAGAGTGACCAAAACATTTATTTGATGTTCTGCGTGAGAAAATCGGTGAACGGTATTCTGCAGGCACTGCGTTAGAGTGCCTCGAGCGTGTGGCGGAGGGTGAACTGAGCGCATCGAGGCACGTTAGGCACAAGTGCCATCCTGGCAGTTATCTTCGAAAACGAAGGCGTGCAGCCAGCGGAGAAAGATGCGCGCCAGTTTCGGGGGTGATAAGGTGCTAGAACGCAAAGCGACGGGCAGGTGGCACCACCGTGACGTCGTAGCAAAGCGTTGCAAACACCTTTTTGAGCATCGCGTTGCACTGTCAGCGCAGGGTGATTAAACGCTACATTCCTTAGAGTCACTTGTGTGTGCCTCTTCTAGTATAAAGGCAGACATACAAAACATTGAAGCGTTGTTGTGGCACCTCAGATATGCGCAATAATTGCTTTTTAATTGACAATCGCACAGCTATGAACGCTAAACCTTGAGCAATATTTGTGGGCGCTGCGGATGGGGTTGGCCGTTTGATGCGGTTTGAGGTATCGTTAGGGTGGACAAACAGACAAATGTACAGACAGACAGACAGACAGACAGACAGACAGACAGACAGACAGACAGACCAAAATTTTTCCGTTGAAAGTCCCCAAGAAAGACTATCGTCTGTAAAAAGTAAGCACTCGAATCAACGTTAGACGTCCGTACGACTCTTTGCAGTGCGTCTCCCGTTTTAACCTCAAGGAGTTCGTCAGGAACGCGCGACAACTTTTCCGAGAAGCGAACTGAGTGGGCCCGGCACGCTGTGATAGCAGGCAAGCTTTTCCACATGGCACTCCCGAAGCGAGTCGGTGAAAGCCTTAGGGCAAACAAAGTTTCCGAGTCCAGAATCGATCCCTTCTTTTCCTATACGATCCTGGGCTCGCCGTCGGGAAGTGGAAGCTTGTAGGCCTCCCCTTGGTAAAGGTTTTTCCAATTCCCAAATGGGAAGACGTCCCTCCAGGAATTTCGTTAGGTCACTTTACACGCAGTGCATACCGGTATAAAAAGTCGTGTGGGCGTCTAACGTTGATTCGAGCGCTTACTTCTTGTATAAACTTTACTTGGATTAAGTGCTCAATCGCCTTCCGAAAGCTTATTTGCCTAATCTCTTTACTTATTGTGCTGCCAGGGCAGCTTGTATGGTTTTGCTATGACCGACTGCGACTGTCGATCGACAATGATATTCAGTATTATTCGGACATAGCTATAGTTATCACGACGGTGTAATGTGGCCATTATTTCTTCTCATCGTTATTTTTTTATCTATCTATCTATCTATCTATCTATCTATCTATCTATCTATCTATCTATCTATCTATCTAACTGTCTGTCTGTCTGTCTGTCTGTCTGTCTGTCTGTCTGTCTGTCTGTCTGTCTGTCTGTCTGTCTGTCTGTCTGTCTGTCTGCATATCATCAAAGATTATGGCATCACTCCTCAGCCAAACATGCTATTCCAAGTAGCGAGGACGAAAATTTGATTCTTAAAATGCGTAATACTTACACTAGCAGCAAGAAAGTATAGTTACTATTGGAGCGTAAACAACCTAGCCTGACTCTTTTGCTCAGATGAACGGCCGGTGCGCCGCATCTCTAGAGGAGGGGCTTGTAGTGTTTGTTTTCTTAGATTGTAACCGTGTATAGTGTACTAATATGAAACTTTACAGTTACCACACTCTTCTAAACTTTATGCTCTCGACACTCATACACAATTGTGTGTGTGTGTGTTTTGTGTGTGTGTGTTGTTGTTATCCGTGCATATATCATAACCATCAGCCAGAGAGAGAGAGAGAGAGAGAGAGATAAAGATACAAGGAAAGGCAGGGAGGTTAACCAGACGCACATCCGGTTTGCTACCCTGCACTGGGGAAGGGATAAAGGGGAGAAAAGAGGTTGCAGAAAGATGATAAGGTACACACAATCACGAGCACACTCGGGGAGCACACACAGTTTACAGGCGGTCGCTCAGGTTTGTTGACTTAAGGTAAAGTAGCAGTGCTTTAGTTGCTTTCTGTGCAACTGAGGCAGATGCCCAAGGTCCTAGTATCTTCTGCACACAAAATGGTCCGGGGTCAAGTCGATTCAAAACCATCCGTAGCTGGCATCGCTGTGTGTCGTAGCAAGCGCAGTTGCACAGGACGTGTTCGATGGTCTCTTCATCTCCGCAACCAGCAATATAGAGTAGCATGCCAGGCGAATAGCCTGGCTAACAACTCCAGCTTTTCATTTAGAAAAAAAACAACAACTTTGGTTTCTCTCGCGCTTCTTCTCCGCTCACCCATAGATGGCCCAGAAGGTCTGCCAGCAGGAGGGCTGGCCGTAAGCCGTCAGCGGTAGCTTGTACTGCGCCGCGTCGCTGGCGTGGTTCCCACCCAGCTCGGAAGGGGGACCCGCCTTTCTATAGCGGGCACCGTCATTGCGGAACTTCTCCACCAGCGTCTGGATCTGGCTGCTGGACTCGAGGAAGCGCTCACGGGAACGCCGGTCCACCGTGGCAAGGCACACTGCAACAGTTCCAGATCGTTGGGTGATCTACTTAAAAACAATAAAATGGTGAGCGATTTAGAGTATTCTACTCTACCAGGGGAGAGCAGTATGCCGTCCCGATTTGAGGAGACCTTCGATGCCAAACGAGACGTGAAATAACCTTTCGTACTATACAGTACACTAAGCTGCAAGTATAAAAACAAACAGGCAGAGGTATGGCAAAAGACATAGTCGGACATGCGTGTTATGCAAGCGGGAAAGAGAGGTACAGTCAATCAGTCATTCAGCCAGTCATTCAGCAGTCGGTCGGTCGGTCGGTCGGTCGGTCAGTCGGTCGGTCGGTCTGCCTGCCTGCCTGCCTGTCTGTCTGTCTGTCTGTCTGTCTGTCTGTCTGTATGTATGTATGTATGTATGTATGTATGTATGTATGTATGTATGTATGTATGTATGTATGTATGTATGTATGTATGTATGTATGTATGTATGTATGTATGTATGTATGTATTATGTAATTGATTGATATATGTGGTTTAAACGTCCCAAAACCACCACATGATCATGAGAGACGTCGTAGTGGAGGGCTCCGGAAATTTCGACCACCTGGGGCTCTTTAACGTGCACTCAAATCTGAGCACACGGGCCTGGACTATTTTCGCCTCCATTGAAAATGCAGCCGCCGCAGCCGGGATTCGATCCCGCGACCTGCGGGTCAGCAGCCGAGTACGTTTGCCAATAGACCACCGCGGTGTGTATGTATGTATGTATGTATGTATGTATGTATGTATGTATGTATGTATGTATGTATGTATGTATGTATGTATGTATGTATGTATGTATGTATGTAATTGATTGATTGATATGTGGGGTTTAACGTCCCAAAACCACCATATGATTATGAGAGACGCCGTAGTGGAGGGCTCCGGAAATTTCGACCACCTGGGGTTCTTTAACGTGCACCCAAATCTGAGCACACGGGCCTACACCATTTCCGCCTCCAACGGAAATGCAGCCGCCGCAGCCGGGATCCGAACCCGCGACCTGCGGGTCAGTAGCCGAGTACCTTAGCCACTAGACCACCGCGGCGGGGTATGTATGTATGTATGTATGTATGTATGTATGTATGTATGTATGTATGTATGTATGTATGTATGTATGTATGTATGTATGTATGTATGTATGTATGTATGCATGCATGCATGCATGCATGCATGTATGTATGTATGTATGTATGCATGTATGTATGTATGTATGTATGTATGTATGTATGTATGTATGTATGTATGTATGTATGTATGTATGTATGTATGTATGTATGTCTGTCTATGCCTATTTCTTGTTCTTCATCGTGGATTAACAAGCAGCGAAACAGAGTTTGAGCGAAGGAAACCACCATACATCACTTCGTCTTGCGGTAGGTCTTCGCCTATCACTACGTACAAGAAGTATAGTAATCGAAGCCTCGGTGAAGCGTTATCGTCTCCTTGTACTCATGGAACGAAAAGTAACGGAGCTGGGCCTGCAAAAAAATGATTCCAGAGAAATGCTCGCACGCTTCCTACACATACGAAAAAAAGTTGTAAGAGATCAAGAAATGTTCCATTTCAGGACAACTTAATTCGTCCTGTGCTCTGTCCTTGGAGGGACCAGCGACACATTCGCTATCGACCATTTCTAATTTCATAAGTATCAGCAAAACAATCGTTTCAGCAGATAGTGAGAATTGAACTAGCAGCGAGAATGATCTCTCTGTAATTATCTCTGTGGACATAAGCCACTGCCTTCGAGGTATTGACTTGAAAGAACTTGCAACAAGAACATACTCATTCTGAAATACGAAATGTTTGCGTTAAAATGTTTGCAAAGGTCCTTCTGGCATGTTGGAGCGATAGTTACATCACGAAATGTCTTCAGTTTAACAACAATAACTTGTACAGGCGGTACAATCCAACCAACAACGTGTAAGTTTAGTGAACTAGAAAAATGCAGATTGCTCAACAGCCTTATTTTCTGATGAATCGCGTGAGTTTCAAGCGAATCTCGCAAACTCTCTATGCTCTTGAAAGCGACTAACCTCTTTCCAAACTATAGAATTTTCCGGGAGAAATAAAAACCAGTCTCTCCTGTCTATGTTCTTTGGCTTCACTACTTCAAACGAAATTGACAATAATAACAATAAAGTTATGGTTAGAAGCTTTCCGCCCGCCCCCATGGTTTCATTATCATTTCGACAATAACTGTGACCTGGGGCTTAATTTCACTCAATGGCGAAATTTAAATGGCCTAGAGCAGTGTACGAATATCCATGAGTGTAACTCGGTGTGATGGGCGTTATACTGCAGAACTATTTTCGTTCGTGTCTGTAGTCGCAGTCTTAGGTGCTCGTGAAAGCACGGGAGTGTGGACAGTGGCAGTTTCAGCGATTTATCGCCCATTTTCACGGCGTTTCATTGCACCTATACGCCCATTCTGCCAACGGTTGGTTTTGTTCCCGTCTTTCAAGCCTCGTTCTTTCGCGTACCCTTCGCTTCTACAGCCGCGTGCTCTGCCTTGCCTCACCTCCTCAGTCGCGCTGCTTTGAACTCCTTCCCCGTAATGCAGATCTGCCCTGAAGCGACAACCTTTCGAAACGAAAAACCGTCGCACGCCGTTATTTCAGCGAAGAAGGGCGATTGCGTGTTACGGTTTGTGTTCGTTTGTTTGCTTCGTTTTTCTCCCGCAAGCAATCGTCCTCACCTTCACAAGCTATAGTACCCGGGTGGGCTGTTTATTCAAGCTCTGTGTCGAATTCGGTTCGTACGTAACGACGTAGCTCATTGTGTTTGAGAAAGAGAGGAAAAGAAGTAAAAATGAACAACGCCAGACAAGGTGGGGAAAAAAGGGCGTCTCGGGAGTGCTCGCGCTCGTTTCAGATGTTTCGGAAAAGTGTGCCACGGTGCATTTCGAAAATCGATCGGTGGTGCTAGGCTAGCTAGAATGCAATCGACGACGGGCTACAGCATTCGACAGGGCTAGCCAGAACGGCAGCTTCGAAAAGGCGCCCCTGCGAGGCACACCTTGCTGAAAATAACTGTCGAGGCTGCTGCTTTGTAGCTCACGGCTCTACTGGCGATGCAAAGAAGCTTCCTACCAGGATTTAAAAATAAACCTTTAATTGCGGAGAAAACGCCTATCTGCTTTATTCACTGATTATTTTAAAATTATTGAAGTTTAACGTTCGAAAATCACCATATGATTATGAGAGACGCCGTAGTGGAGAGCTTTGTAACTTCTGACCCCCTCGGGTTCTTTAATGTCCACCAAAATTTAAGCTCACGGACCTACACCGATTTCACCTCCATCGAAAATGCAGGCACCGCAACCGGGGTTCGATCCCGCGACCTGCGGTTCAGCAGCCGAATGCCTCAGTTACTATAGACCACCGTGGCGGGTTGCTTTATTCACTCAAATTGCAACCACTGCTGCGCTGGTGCCATCTCATCAATCAGAAGTTTGTTCTACGTGAAATCGAGTACATCGGCGATATTGGTGCGCTTAGATCACAACAGCGCGTTCGCGCTCGCAATTTTAACGTAAAAGGTATGTGTTTCCTGCGAATGAAAATTGTATGGGCAATTGGAGCTACCCGTTCTGTGTCACCTCATCTGCCTACACTTCCTGCTGTGTGTGTAATGGACCTTTTCTGGGTTAGAACAGCGCCTCCAGCGGAGATCGTCGAAATTTAAACTAGGAGTCCGCGGGCTCCGAAGTTATTCGCCGCGAGCCAGCAGACAATCTTAGGAGCCTTTGCAGGACACCTGCCCTGTTTGTGTCTGTTTCTTTTCGTCACGAACAGCGCTGATATATGCTTAAAGACATAATTTAGCGGAACAAAACAAGGACACAAAAATATGCGCACCGAACGACCGCTAGACACAAAATTAAACAAAGGCCTGCCTTGTGGTCGTCGTGTGTGAATCTTTCTGTGTCCATATTTTGTTCCGCTGTAATATGTATATAAGTCAAAACCAACTACCCTGAATTTCAGCGTTAAAGGGACACCAAAGGCAAATATTAAGTCAATGTCGATTGCTGAAATGTCGGTCCAGAAACCGGGTAGTGCCCACTTTGTGCCAAGAAAATGTTTATTTTGAAATAAAATGACGTTGAAGTCGTCTGGCCGTCTCACGTGGCCGTCTCACGTCACTGTTGCCGTGAACAACGTTCCCCGGCTTCACTGCGCGACCGCCGACACTATACTAGCAGCAGAGCGAAAGTAGCGGAAACCACAGCAGGAACTAAGACCATTGAACATTTTTTTTCAGCCATGGCCTCCGAGAGGGTAAGCGTGCTTCGTTCAACTGGGCCCCGCTAGATGGCAGGACCTGTCCAGTTTAACCAGGCGAAAATGGAACTTATGAACCACTCGCGCCATTCCTTTTTTCTATGAATCAAACAAAAACGACGAAGCAGCATTTTATTACGGCCCTTGATACACAGACTCTTCTTAATTTAGTGCAGCAAGTTCGATTACTAGTAATTAATTGTAGGCGGTAAGCTTGACGTCATCGGCATCATTTTGCGAATGTCCTACTCGTGGAACTTTTCGGTAAGTAGAGAACTGTAGAGAACTGCTGTTGATAATATTGTCGTTTTAGACGTTGTCATATATTGAGCTTTCACTCTGGCATAAGTTGTTATTCGACTTTAGTGTCCCTTCAACTGAATCATCTCACCCTGGAATGCCTCACCCAATCGCTCAAAGACGCGCTTACACAGACTGCCCCAGTCAGCTCCATCTCCAAGGAGACTTACGCAAGCGATTTCTTTCTGCGAAGGGAGATCAGCAGCTTTTAGTACACGAGAAATTCGAGTGAAATACACGCACACTTTAGAGTAATAGACTTCGCCGGTAGTGTACTTACAGAAAAAAAAAAGAAAGTGTATACGGCTTCGTATTGCCTGTTTGTTTGAAGTCTCTGTGGACGTTTGCACCAAAAGGAGGACTCGGGCACTCTTCTACTCGCAGAGCGCTACACCT